AAATAAATAAATCTTAAAAAAAAAAAAGAATTTAGTAATGAGACAAGTAATATTCAAGTCATAAAAGCAACTCAATGGATCAGACTGTATATATGGAGTTATCGTTTGGTTTTATAGTGTCTTAAATAGACTAAGCAACCCTTCCTGGACTGCATATTTTGTGATTACAAGCTATAGAATATAAAATAGCTGGGTGAAATATCAAGTATTTCCTTAAATGAAGTTGGAAATGTGAGTAAGCAAGAAGAGACGATAAAGAAATGACCAGACTAGCTTAAAATCAACGAAATATAACTCTTAGAAATGAAAACAGCTATTTAAATTAAATAGGTACAGGTAAAAAAGAATTAGTAGCTTGAGACAAGTATTATATATATGTATAGTACACAAATATTTATAAACATATATAGGTATATATGTGTATCATAGACAGTAATACAAAGTAGAATCAGAGGATAACCTTAAATATTTTTTATGGAAGATAAATTAATAAACATTAATTTAAAAAAATTAGAAGATATGGGCCTTCCTGGTGGTGCAAGGGGTTAAGATGCAACCTATGAGGCTATCTGCAGCCTCTGCATTATGAGTTCGATCCCTGGCCGGCCAGGCATTTGCCCACATGGCACAGCAGACCTCTCCTGACTTGCCCGCTGCTCCCCTCAGCAGTGTATTTCAGTAGATCTGCCTGTTCTGTTCCCCATTTTGTCTCTGGCGAATCCTCTCACCCCCCACACCTCTGGCCTGTACCCCAGTTCTTGTTTTTTGTTTTTTTTAAAAGATTTATTTATTTATTTATACATACATACATACATACATACATACATACATACATACATGCAAGCACTGGGTACAGTCAGAAGCGCGGGAGGGTGAGAGAATTCACTAGAGCCAGAGCAGGGAGCAGAGCAGGCAGACTGATGGAAAACACAGCTGAGGGGAGCAGCGGGTGTGACAGGAGAGGTCTGCTGTGCCATGTGGGACCCTCGCTGGCGGCCTGGGATTGAACAGGCGCTGCAGAGGCTGCGGGCAGCTTTGCAGCCCAGCGCTCAACCACTGCGCCACCAGGGGAGGCCTTACCCCAGTTCTTGTATGCATAAATTAATAAACCTTTTAAAAAAATTAGAAGAGATATAAAACAGCTGACTTTAAGAAATATATGTGAGTCCATACTGATATAAATAAACGACTGAATAAATAAAGGGGAGGATAAGAGGGCACAAATCTCCCTGCCAAATAATTTATGTAGATACTCCATGCTCACAGAGATGGAACATAACTCCCCACAATGTAAATGTGAACTAATCACAGTGACTTCTTTCCAAAGAGTACAGTATGAAAAAAAGATGAAGAATACCTTTACAGTAGAGAAACTTGGCAAATATTACCTCCATCAGTTAAGTCAACGATGATTATGTCATGATTATGGTTTGATGAAAATGGCATTTTACCTCCATGGTCATCCTTCCCCAAACTTGTTATACCAACCCAATTAAAAAAAAAAAAACAAAAAAAAACCTAACTGGGTCTCCCCTGGTGGCGCAGCGGTTGAGCGCTGGGCTGCAAAGCTCCCCACAGCCTCTGCAGCACCAGTTCAATCCCCGGCCGGCCGGCAAGGGTCCCATATGGCGCGCAAACCTCTCCTGCCACCCGCTGCTCCCCTCAGCAGTGTACTTCGGTCCTTCTGCCTGCTCTGCTCCCCGCTCTGACTCTGGTGAATTCTCTCACCCTCCCGCACTTCTGACTGTACCCAGCGCTTGTATAAATAAATAAAATCTTAAAAAAAAAAAAAAAAACTTCCACTGGGGGGCATCCTGCAAAACACTTGACCAATGCTCAGAAAAATTGCCAAGATCATCAAAACCAAGAAAAGTCTGAGAAACTTATCACCAAGATAACCCTAAAGAAACGTAACTAGATGTAATATGGTCTCACACATGGAATCCCACAACAGAAAGGCATGAGATGAAAACTAAAGAAATGTGAATAAACTCTGGACGTAAGGTAATAATGTTTCACTACTGGTTCTTTAATTGTGGCAAATGTATTATAACATGTTAATAACAAAACTGAATATAAAGTTTATGGAGACTTCTCTCTATCTTCCCACTGTTTCTGTAAATCTTCAAATGACCTAATAATAATGTCTCTTTTTTATATTTGGAGGAAACTTTTCCACAGGGGCTGGGCCAGTCTGCACCCACCAACAGTGTCCGAGAGTTCCTTTTTGTCCACACCCTCACCAACATTTGTTCTTTCGGATCTTTTTTGTTATGGACAGTTTCCAGAGGAGTGAGGTGATAGCTCATTGCGGCTTTGATTTCCATTTCTCTGATTATAAGTGATTTTTTTCATGTGCCTGGTGGACATCTAAACCAATTCCACCCTGAGGTATCTATCAGAAGATTACAAAATCACTAATTTGAAGGGCTATATACTAAGTGAAATAAGTCAGAAGAACAATACTTAATCATTTCACTCATATGTGGAATAGGGAAACAAAGAAAAGGAACCAACAAAACTAAATCAGACCAAATCCTAGAAATCTGACTATAGAATTTAGGCTACCCAAGGGGGAGGATGGGAGGCAGGGGGCACACTGGGGAGAAGCCCAATGACCTATGGTGGAGGATTAGTGGTGCTTTAGCATGGCCTGGTAACATACATCTTAAGAGGTGTGAACCTGTACTCTAAAAAATTCCTTTCCAGTCTGATTAGCACCTCTCTGTATTTCACTTTCCTTGGATAGCAATGAGGAGCTCATGATTGAATACATCCATTAGCCAATTGTACCCTGTTTGCTATGCTTTGCTTTTTAATTTCCTATTCTTATTTTTCTCTTGGGTTGTTCATTTCCCTAACCAATATGGCAACACTCTTACACATACAATGGCTATGAGTTTGTTTGTTACACAGCCCACACCTGTTTGGGGCTGGTATCTTCATCTCTGTGGCACATTCCAGATTCGAGAAGTGGAAGATTCAAGCTACTGCTGTCTCCTCTTTGCAGGATGGATGAAGAGACAGTTCAGAGAGAAGACAGCCAAGGTAGCTGGAAAGTGGGCAGCATTGGTGCAATTGTAGAGAAATGATAAGGGAAGGGGAAGGGGAATGAGGAGACGCAGACACTTGATCAAGGTGCTGACATCATCCTGCTGAGGGGCTCGGCAGTCCTTCATTTATACTAAGCAAACGTGAGTGCATAAGCATAAGGTAGGAAGATAATAATCATTGCATGTTCTTTTTCAGGAGCAGCCAAGGGTCTGTTTGCCTTCCGGCAGAGGTGTAACATTTATTATTCTTTGCTTAAAGAAGGCACAGTTGCTAAACAAATGTTTTCAAAGTAGTTATTTACTTTAAACAATCCAACAGTTATTGTATTACTAGCAAAAAAGCTAATGTTTCTGCAACTAACATTTCTAGTTTGCCATGGTGACAATTAACTAAGGGCTGAGGGAAACCAAGGGCAGGAAGTTACCTGGGGGAAGGGAGACAGATGATTTCTAACTAACCTATAAAGTTTAGATTAACATATAACTAATTGATTAAAGTAAAAAACAGAAGGCTTTTATATAGAAATCATCATCTATAGTATATTGTTTTAATATTGATTTGATATTAAGGAACCAAGGGCCTGGAGGGCGTTCATGCCAGGCAAGCCGCACTGACTCTTCCCTAGCCCCCAACTCTCAATGAAGGGAGGAAGTCTCCTAATCTAAACAAAGAGTTTTCTACTTCTCTACTTTATCTAGTCAGCCTAGTTTCCGTATTTCACTATAAGATCAAGGGGCAATTTCCTCTTCCATAAGGTTGCTGGTTGTTGTTCTAAAGAACTACAAATATTTCATCAGGGGCAGAAGCGGAGATGGTTATAGCCTTTGATTCTCAAAAATGGTCAATATGTGACATATCAGTAGTTGTAACATTGACCATTTCCGAGTGTGTTATTTGTGCTGCCGTGGTTACTAGCTCAACCATTCACAAAATTGCTGTTGACTTATTCTTGAATGCACACTCTAACAGCTATCATACCAATTGTCACAACCTAGGGAATTAGCCCTAAACAAACAGGAAGAATTTAGCAGGAGTCGACTATGGCGTCTCCTGGTTTATCAGGAATTTTCTTATACTTGGAGCCTGGCTCGCCTCTGCCACCCAACTGTTATCTTTAACTTTAAAGTAAAGGAATTTCTTTCTCCAATTAGCTCTTGCCTCAAAAGACCACATCTCTATATCAAAGACTTGGCCGATAGATGTTTACAACCTTTTGTTTCCAGAAGTTTTTTCACTGGTTAAGGTAAAGCCAAATGTTGAATTGCTGCCTTTTTGGCAGAGGACTACTAATTTTATGAAAAATGTAATATTTGTATCATGCAGTGCCATTTGTCATCAAATTGGTTATTCAGTGATTGATCAGTATTTGCAGTTTTACTTTTAAATGCGTATTTTAGCAATGGTAGAAACTAGCCATAAACAAATGAGGAGAATCTTGGAGTCAGCTAACGAGATTCCTGATTTTTCAGAAATCTGCCCCATGCCTGGACTTTTGTCAGGTGACATGAGTAGCGCGGCTCCCAATAGCTCCCACTTTACTATGAGACTTAGGGCAAATCTTCTAGCCTCTGAGGCTTAGTGTCTTCCAACAAAGAGAGGAAGCCATCACACATACTTTACACAGGATTGCTGTGTGAAACCAATGAGAAGATTCAGACGAAGGACTTCTTCAGGGCCTGGTACTTCATCAACATTTGACCAAGGAACAGTTCACTCTGTGGACCCTAAGGCGATGCATGCAGACACCTTTTGAATTCATGCACTGATGATTACTGGACACTGTGCCATGTGTTTCCCTTAATACAGTGAAAACCTGAGAAATGCTGGAGGATACTTCTTTCAGAGCAGGAGGCTGGAATACTCTGTTAGGTCCACCCACCTTCATGGGATGGCAAATGAAGTCACTGGGCTGGAGAAAGAGGTGGGGACTAAGCAGCATTAGGGGTCAGTGGTGAGGTCAACCTAAGTGAGTAAGAGTCAAGGGGATAGGCTGTGTCATTTCCACCATGGCTGGGACAAAGGAGCTTCTGGTGCTGGAAAACTTCATAGGTGGAAAATTTCTACCTTGTAATTCATATATTGATTCTTATGATCCATCAACAGGAGAAGTCTACTGCAGAGTACCAAACAGTGGGAAAGAAGAGGTGAGTATGTTCATTTAGCAAAGACTGATAACTACTTAATATGTTGGTGAATTATGGGAAACTTAATTTTCTAGATGCCAATGGATAAAGTATAGAATGGTTAAATACTAACAGAAGGATGATGTTAGTTCTTGAAAGGTTTACTATGCAACTGGACATGCAGGATATATAGAACAAGTCTCAGGTTACCAGATGCAGAAGACTGTCCTTAAGCTGGGCTATCTAACACACAGCAGCAACGTTTCTCAGGTATTTTTAAAGAGGTGGCTACTAAATTATCAGTATTGTAAATGGAGGAAGCTCCCTTTTTTTTTTAAACAAGTATTACCTAAATTTATCCCCATATCCCTAGATTTCTAAAAAATGTGTTACTTCACTAAAACAAAAATTTTTTTAAAAAGGGATTTACTTTAGTGCTTAATGTCACACACAGTAAGATTTTTTTTACTAATTTCAAAGTAATTTTAGTTGAAGGATTTTTTTTAAATATTTGATTAGTTATCACTTACTGCCCTGAGAATGCAAATATAAATGGGTGATAACCAAGGGATATATATTGAGACACTTCATAGATAAATAAGAAGTACACATTTGTTTTAAAGAACTTAACAGTTATTTTTCTAATGTTGATAGTATTCTAAATCTGGTTAGCATTAAACCTTTAGACTTGTGGGTTAAAGTGTACAAATAATGCCTAGTTTGCTAGTTAAACTGTAACCCACAATTTTGTTTGCTTCCGATGACTAAGGAGAGATGTGGAAAAATTTGACTTTTTTCCTAGTTCTCCTTATCTTACTGTGTTTTTCAAAGTGAAGCTAAAAATGAAAAATATGCCAAATTCAGCTGAAATATTTTCTGGAGTTAATGGTCCATGCCTTTTCAAGAAAATAGAATGAGGTGCAGGCACACTGGTTAGTAGAGTAATAGATGTTTTGGATTTCCCAGCAATCCAATCTATAACATTCCCTCTGATATCCTAAGTCCCAGGTTGTTCTGTAACAGGGTGGTCCCCAGGAAAGGGGGAGGTTCCCTGCCCCACCCAAGGGAGGGTGGAGCTGAGCAGGAAGAGGAGAAGCTGCAGAAGAGACTGAGGAAGGAAGCAGGATGGAGCCAGGAGACACGTGAAGAAACTGCGCTTGTCTTTTGGTCGTGGACTGGGTGACACAGATGTGGGTGAGACCCATGGGGAGGTGACCATGGCAGCTTTTATCTTGATGTTGATTTTGCTCTTTTCCTTCCGGGCTTGTCTGGTAGTTTCTGACCCTTTTCTGTGGGTCCCCACTGGAAGATGCTTTAGACTTGTGGCAGGCTTTGGGGCCTTGCTCTGCGCCATTCCCATATGGATGGACTTTTACCCACGAGGGGATGGGTAACTTTGGGTGCTTCATTTAGAAACTAGACTCTGCCTTACCTGTATTGTTTCCTAGTTTTATTAAACTTCCTTCCCATTAAAGTCTCCTATGTTTTGTGTTGATGCGGCGGATGATGGCAGAACCCATTTAGAATAGGCAGGTTTGCGGGGTTTGGGCTGCCCCTCTCCCTGCTCTATAACAGTTCCTGAGTTGAGAACTGTGGTCACCATATAAATTATATGACCAGTTACCCAAAAACTTACTCACAATGCTGCTACTGCTCATGGTGAATCCCATTTATTCAGCGTTTGCTGTGGACTTGGCATTCACCAAGCCCTTTAACACAAATGGTCCCAAATATGGGTCATAACAACCAACAAATTTGAATCTATCATTATCCTTATTTTACCACCCTCATTTCTGATACCGACAACTATGCAGTTTCCTGCTCTCTTTCTCCTTTCCTCCCCTCTCCCTCCCCCTCTTTGAGATCTATGTACATTATCTTTTTGCAGTCACAAGCACAGCCTAGAGACACACAGACTAACCTCAAAGACCACCTGTAGTGCCAGGAAGGGCACAAAGCTGGTTCTCTATGATCCGAGCAGACCAGATGGGGTAAAGGAGAGTCCTGGAGCCCTCGGTGGCTTTCTCAGACTGTTATTGAGCTTTTACATGTAGTACAGCAACCAGGTACATGGCAGGATGGGGTGCCTGGGGGCCAGGAGGCTGGCAGGCCTCTCAGTCCCCGGTGAATCTTCACTCTATTCTGGGCTCTCTGTCCTTGCGCTTCTCTGCTTCTCTTGGGGAATATATCAATACTGCAGCCATGGCCCACAGAAGTAAACACACAACTGAATATAACAAAGTAACAAAATGCAGGTGCTGTCATCAGGCATGCAATCCTAATGTCAGGAGGGCAGAAAAGATCTCTTAAAGATGACTTAGTAGCTTGACTTAAAATCAGACCTCTTTGTGCCTCAGTGGTCTGATCTATAAAATGGGGATAATAATGATACCTATTCTGTAGTGTTCTTCTGAGCACTAAACAGACGGCAAAGTGTCTGACATATAGTAAATGTGTTCTAATATTATCATATATAGTAGATCAATGTTTTTTATATTACATGGACACAGATGTGTGCATAAGACGGTTTAGAAAATATGTTGGGGCCTGAGTTTCCTGCCTATCAAGATTTTTATTCCAAATAGGTGGGAAGGGACCCTCCCACATTGGGTAGTTGGTTCCGCATGGCTGCTGTCGGTGGTGAGATCACCCCACTCACATCTTTTCCTTCATCTTATCTGTAGCCCCAAATTTGAGATTCTGTCTTTGAGGTGAAAACACTGCCCAGAAAATTATAAATGAGACTCATTTCAAGCCTGAGTTCAGCTCTACTGAAAGTGACTTTATTTGCATGAAGTAAAGCAAGGGAGCGAGGTGGACCAGATTTGGGGCAGAAGGTCAGCAGAAACTTGGGTGGCTGAATTGTCAGGTCATGTGATTCCGGAAAGATGCTCCGAGCTGTCTGAGGCCAGTGTTGGCTGGGCTGAGAGTGTGCCAGTGGTGGGAGAGGGCTGGAAGTGATTACAAATATTTCTCATGCACGTAAGAGAGCAGAAAGTCAGGAAAAGACATTGTTTAGACAACAGCAGATGATCTGAACATTCATTTTGTCTACATGAATTGTGCTTATGCATACCTTTCCACATATTATTGATTTTGGATTTAGCTCCCAAGCCAGGTACCTAAGCTCTCTGACCAACCATTGCTGCCCTCCGCTCCCACAAAGACCTCTTCTGTGGGGACAGCCAGGCAGGGGTCAGTTACTCTGGGTATGTCATGGCAGGTCAGCCTGTGACTTGGAAGCCTCAAAGATCCATCAATCCTGATACGGCCATTGATTAGCTATGTGACATCTGGCAAGTTACTTGAGCTCTCTGTACTTCAGTTTCCTTATCTGTACAAGGGACATAGTAATAGTCACATTACAGGATTTTAAATGGAGTTAAAATGAAATAATTTGTACAAAGTATTTAGCATATTCTCCTGCATATAAAAATTAGTCCATGAATGACAGTATGATTTAGTCGTTCCATGTGGGAATGGGTGCTGGGGAGGACGTCATTTCAAACAAAATTTTGGACTTTATCAGATATCAGAGCTGGATCAAGAGCTTTAGAGAGTCTATAGATCTAGCCTAAGTTTCCTCATATGATATTCAAAAAAAATTCCTTATTTTGAAATAACTGAAAACATATGCCTGATAAATCCCTCTAGCTGCCTTCCGATGATCTGATTCTCACATTCTGGAAACCTTGGTTAAAATGGGCCATTTTTGGGCCACCCTGGTAGCGCAGCAGGTTGAGCACAGCACTGTGAAATTGTTCGCAGCCTCTGCAGCACAGGTTTGATTCCTGGTGGCCAGTGAGATACCCACATGGCATGGCAGACCTCTCCTGTCTCGCCCGCTGCTCCCCTCAGCAGTGCTTTTGGTCTGTCTGCCTGTTCTGTTCCCCACTCTGTCTCTGGTGAATCCTCTCACCCTCCCGCACCTCTGGCCTGTACCCCAGCTCTTGTGTAAATGAAAATAAATCTTTACAAAAAAATAAAATGGGCCACTTTTCCTTTGTCTTTATGGTGCCCTCCTTTGCCAGTGATGAAACACATCTTTGTGAGAAACGGTGAGTGTTTGAAATGAGGGAGATAAAAAACGAGGCGTGTGGATTCTGGATTCATGAAACCTCTTTGGAGCGTGTCTTGAGGTGACCTTCCCCTCCTTGCTCCTCACAGGTGGAAGCTGCCGTGAAAGCGGCCACAGCTGCCTTTCCCGCCTGGTCCTCACGGAGCCCCCAGGAGCGCTCGCAGGTGCTGCTGCAGCTGGCACATTTGCTGGAACAGTCTCTAGAAGAGTTTGCTCAGGCAGAGTCCAAAGACCAAGGTAAGAGGAATGTGTCCATCAGGAGAACCACCTCTGCCCTGCTTTTCAGTCTTCTAGGTCTTTCTCTCATAGAGCCGGGGTGGGTGCACTGTCTTACTAAATGTTTCATGAAGAAGACAAAGCATTATTCAGGGGCTGGTGACTTGCCCTCTCCCAGTGTGACAGTGACCAGAGGCAGGGGTAGGGGCCCAAAGCAGAGCCAGCAGATGCTGAGTCCTGGAAGGCAGGATATGCCTCTCCTGAGGACAGAGCTAAGTCATCCTGCACCCAAGGTCAAGGGCTTTCTGTTGGTTTTGGTGAAAAGAACTGCAAAGATGTATGTTAGGGCGTAGGCAGGGGAGAGCTCGGACTGATCGTGCAACCTCCCACCAATTCCAAGCAGAGAATTTCCAAGCAGAGATGATTTGAAGAGCAATTTCACCATGAGGTTATTTAGAAAGTTTTTTCATGTTGTCAGTCACTATTCCATTCCCAGCACACTTTCCCAATTTTTCAACTTCTTCCCAGAGTCAGGGGAATGGAGTAAATCTCTATAAATAAATGCCAGTAAGGAAAAAAGCAACATCACTTAAAATTATGTGCAGGTTAATAAACCAACCTAAAGGAAGCAGCCCATCTCAAGGGCGCCAAAGAAACTCTCCTGTTAGCACTCCTGGGTGAAGCTATCTGAATAACAATCCAGGTAATCTTTTGTCTCTCTTTTCTGTGGACTCCAGGAGCTAGAACTACCTGGGGCACAACAAAGGGGGAGCTCAGCTTCCTGCCCCAGCAGGAACTCATCCCTTCTGCACTGGGCCATCTGAATGACTGCCATGCCCTGGGGGATATTTGATACACATCATATCTTCATCAAAGTGGCTTTTGTGATGTGCAAATACAGTTGTCTTAGCAACCATTATTTTAACCCCTTGTGGCATCTACAAAACTTGGTGATTTTGATTAAAAAGCTGATGTGCACGAAGAGGTCACATCTAGCAAATTCATGATGACAGCTATGAATTATTCAGTGTGCCAAGTAAAGATGATTTGACTCAATTTGACCCCTCCCCTATTTCATGTTATAACATCCTATTAATTATTTCATAGTTTAATTAAACCATGATCCATGCTCTGTGTAGTCAATGAATGTCAGTCCCAGGCTGGAAGTAACCTCTCCGGAGCAACCAAAGTTACTTCAATGTGACTAAGAGTACACCTGTGCTAGGGGGTCCACTAAGTCCTTGGTGAGGTACACTGATGTGCTTTTTGTTGCAATCTGTTCCAGGAAAAACCATAACAATGGCAAGGACTGTGGACATTCCCCGCTCCGTGCAGAACTTCCGATTCTTTGCCTCTTCCATCCTGCATCACACGTCGGAGTGCACCCAGATGGACCACATGGGCTGCATGCACTACACCGTGCGGATGCCTGTGGGAATCGGTAAGTCTGGTCAGTGAAAGCCTGGGCTACGATGGCCTGGAGAGATAACTGGGCCAATTCTGTAGAAACTGATCTAAGGAACAGACTAAGGAAAGGGAAGGCGCTGAGTTCTACTTTACGCTGTCTTATAAAATCACAGGGAAAAGAATGATGCTGTGTATATGTCTACATGCCAGAATTTTTCCCCTTATGAATTAAACAAAGTCTATTTCCAGCAAGTGTGGCTCTGAGCATGGATTTTGAATGTGTGGGGCAAGTTACATAACCTTTGTGTTCTTCAGTTTTCTTATCTGAAAACCTGGCAGAACAGTTCAATTATTTATATTTATGTAGATCAAATATTTTAATAAGTGCCGGGGACCAGCCTCCAACAAAATGTTGTGTCAGGGGTTTCTGAAAGGATGAGACGGCGTTGGCAAAAACAAAAGGACTGAGGGGAAGGGGATGAGGTAGAATGAGGAGACACTGACACTTGGTGAGGTGCTAGTATTTTTTGTCGAGAGACTTAGCAGGTGTTTATTTATTATTAGTAATTAAAAAATACATTATTATGTGTAAAGCAGAAACAATTACTGTGTTATGTTCTAGACTTCTAAATAAAAAATAAACTTCTAAAAAACAAAACAATAATTTACTATAATTGTTATGCTGGATTGCTTGTCAGATATATACAATAAATTGTCTCCCCATTGTTAATTGGGCCGAATTGTGTAGTAACTAATTTCTAAACAGGTAATTTTCCATGCCAATTGCTTGCAGTCTGCTGATACATATAATTTATAGCATAATGTACTTTTTGGGAAATTTTGTCTCTCATTATGACCAAGAACAAAAAATAAAGGGGTGTTAAGTCTTCAGCCCCACGGTGTGAGGCACAAGGAATCTTCGGCCCCACGGTGTGAGGCCCTTTGAGCGTCGCGGCTTGCCAGTGTCTTATCTGGCTGGGTCATCAAGGCCTCCTGCAGCAAATAAGAGTAGGACACTAAGATTAGAGCCAGATATGTGGTGAATAAGTTCTGGTCATTCATTGCTGCTTCCTGCTTTGCAGGGCACATAAATGTCTGTAATGACTAAAACTATCCACTAGATGTCACTATTTCCCCTGAGAAAATGCCAGCTCCATATTTTATTAGTCAAGTTTAGGATAGACTAAAAGAATGTAAGTTAAAAGGAAAGAAAATTAGACACCTAACCACTTTGACTGTTTGAAGCCACTGGAAAGAATGTTTTCAAAGGATGAAAAACTCAAGCCTTCTCCTGAAAGTATGCTAATGTATTATGTCATAAAAATATTCTGCTATGCCTTCAAGAAAGATTTTCCAGTGGGGAAATTTAATATTATAAAATATACATTTGCTTTTATAGCACACACTCAAGGATAGCATATAAAAAAAGGTGAATCCATTTAGCTATTCATGTGGTGACTTTAATTTTGCATGGTTGAAATCCTGGATTGTATCGAAGTAGAGATACCCTCCCTCTAGGTGTTGGTTCTCTGCCTTACCCAGCAAACCTTCCCTGTCAGGATACAGGTGAACACCCAGAGAGAATGGCTAGTCAAAATGCATTCCACAGTCTATGTATGCATCAAAGTTCAAGGGCTCTGCTAATAGGAGGGTCCTCATGGGAAAGACCCAAACCCTTTTCTCCTTTTGTTATAAGCTTAAGATTTTTCTGCTTCCATTCACACACATCAGAAACAGAGGGAGAAACTTCAAGGAAATAGTAGCTGGTCAGTTTTAGTAAGGAAAAGATTTCAAAAATTGTGGATTCATCTATAAATTTCAAAACTCATCACATTTTGGAATTTAGTCACAAGTGACAGCTTTTTAGCCATGGGACTTATATTGCTGTTGTTCATAATTATAATTGTCAGCCATCAAGAACGGAATAAATTGTATTGATCATAATTTTAAAAGGTACAGTTGTTGGCAATACATTTTAGAGTCACTTCACTGACGTCGTCTACAAATATCCAAAGTTTGGGGTTTTGGGAGTACAAGCTTTAGTTTCATGTAACACGAAGGAGTTCTGATTTAATAAATTTAATCAAGTTCTGATTTAAGTTCTGATTTGCTTTGAGGGAAATGTCACTTCACTGTTGGCGATGCGTCTGTTCCCTCCTAGCTGGTCTGATCAGTCCCTGGAACCTGCCACTCTACTTGCTGACTTGGAAGATCGCTCCTGCAATTGCTGCAGGCAATACCGTGATAGCCAAGCCCAGCGAGCTGACTTCCGTGACTGCATGGATGATGTGCAAGCTCCTGGGAAAAGCAGGTAACTCACTCTTTGGGGTTCAGGGAAACACAGGATTGGCTCGGGGTTGTAAGATTTGTAAACTTCAGCCACCTTAGGGCCTCTGACATTTGAAAAGTTGTTTTACATAGAAATCGGCGCCTCATAAAATTGGTTCCAATGTCACCTTTAGCTATTCTCTCCCCAGTGCTTTTCTGAGAAATCCTCTTGGCACATGCTTCTTCCCCTGCACCAAGGCTTCCTGCCTGCCTGAGTTGGCTGGCAGCACAGAGACAAGTGAGCTCCATGGTCCAGCCTCCACAGGCATCAGGGTCTCCTCAAATCACAGCCCAGCCTGCTCCCGAGTGTCTTAAATAGGCTATTTATTGGTGGATTGATTTTTCTTTTAATAGTTTTATACAGAGACAACTTAGAGGGCCCTGAGCCATTCAAATAGACTTGACAAATGACCTTCTTTTAAAGTGTATTCATTTTTAGAAGTACACTGTGAATACCACTTTGGGACTCCTAGAATAAGAATATTCTATTTTTATTTCCTTTGGTGTCACCATGTTTGCCCTCATTCCTGGAAGCCCAGTGTATTTTGGTTTTCTGGACCTCTCTGTTAGCTTTTGCTTGCTGACTTAAAGCTTAAAGGTTTTCTTGTTGTCACTCTTCATGGGAGGGGCTTCATGCATTCATTGTCTGTTGGCCACTCATTTGAGTCTTACCAAATTGTCGTCCATTAAAATGCTTTCCTTTTCTTATAACCAGGATCTTTTAAGACAGATATCTCTAAAAACATTTCACTAATGTCTGGCTCAAACCACAAAATGGTACTGAGGCAATGTTGGCCATAGATGGCTTCTAAGGTCTTGACACCAGAGCTCAAGGAAGCGCCATCAAAGTGCTGCGGCTGTGGCGTAGCCAGTGGTCAGTCTCCTGAAAAACGTGCATTTCCTCGTGCTGATAAATATGTGGCGTTTCTCTTCTACAGCATTCACCCCCCTCCTCTTCTCATTTCCCCCCTCACACTTGTGATTCTTGTTGTCAGCCGGGAGCAGGCTCCCCTCCTGTCATAGACTTGACTTCCCTGAGGGTGTCTGTGCATCCTCAGCCCTGAATCTTAGTCAGTACTGTCAAATGGATTATCTAGAATGTTCTCACCCCGCCACACCCCCTCACCCCCCCCAAAGAAATCCTACCTAGGGTGTAGCATTGCAGAGTTGATGCTGCTGTCTTTGCTTTACTGTTAAACCACTGGCAACCATAAAAGTTCCCTCCCATCCCATTCATGCTACTGGACTTTCAAGGAGAATTTGTCTAACCTGAAGACTTTGACATACTGAGGAGAATTACTGTTGCTGTTACTGTTTCCCACTCAGGTGTTCCTCCAGGAGTGGTAAATATTGTGTTTGGAACAGGGCCCACGGTAGGTGAGGCCCTGGTGTCCCATCCAGAGGTCCCCCTCATTTCCTTCACCGGGAGCCAGCCCACCGCCGAGAGGATCACACAGCTGAGTGCTCCCCACTGCAAGAAGCTCTCTCTGGAGCTGGGGGGCAAGAACCCGGCCATCATCTTTGAGGATGCCAACCTGGAGGAATGTATTTCGACCACTGTCAGGTCCAGTTTTGCCAACCAGGTCTGTCCTCTGGGTTTATTTGCTTTTGCTGTGTTTCTAACTGGATCTGTTCCACCAAAGTGCAAACCTGGAGCAGGTCTCCCCGGCACTGTGTCTGCGAGGGAGAAAGGTCTGTGTTAGTCCCTTGCTCATGCTCAGAGTCAGTTGGGGGGCTTGTAGAGTGACAGATCTGTTCAGCAGGCTCTTCTTGAGTTACACAGCATTTTCTAGGTACCAGTCATGGGCAGAATGATTGATTAATGTTGCTCGGAGCTTCTCCATCCCTTTAACATACAGTTGTCTCCAGATTCTTCTTTCTGTCTAAATGTCCTATCTCCGGTAAACCTTATTTTCCCTCAGAAGCATATCCAATGCATTCACACTCTTAGGAATAAACCCTAGTTAGGTGCAGGTTTCTTACCTTGGAGTCATGGATAAGTTTCTGGACAACTTTGCATTTCCCGAAATTGTGTAACTGATGTTTTTCTGGAGTCCACAGTTTTTATCAGATTTTTATTTAAGACCACAGTATGTCAAAGAATTAACCACCCTGATCAAATGACAAGAACCAGCTCTGCTTTCATACAGCACTCTATTGTTGATGCAAGCACAGAGCAGGCATCCTACATAATGAATAGTTTATTCCAAAGGCTATGTTTTAAAATATATTAAGCAGGGAAAAAAGACCTATGTCGAACAGCTAGAAGAAAAGAGGAGTATAAAAGATGAAAGCTTTAAGAAAGATGAAATCTTGCCATTTGTGACAACACAGATGGATTATGCTAAGTGAAAAAGCCAGATGGAGAAAGACCAATGTTGTATAATATTGTAGCATGTAAAGAAATAAGGCAAACAAATAAATAAAACAGAAACAAACCTTAGACTCTGGCGACAGAATGGTGGTTTCCAGAGGAAGAAGGAGAGAGGTGGGATAGGTTAAGGGGCTGCTGGGTTGGTGGTGGAGGGTGACTGGATGTTTGGTGTGGGAGGTGCGAGTAATATACATGCAACTACTGAGGTGAGAACTACATCTGAAAGCTGCACTGTGTTGTAAACCAACATCACCTCAATTAAAATACAAGCACATATAAAGAAAGAAGAGAGAGATGAACTATACCTTTATTTACCTATTAAGCTGCAAAACTTTTAAAACTTTATTTCTTTACTGTGAAATCTCAGACGCAGTCATGTCTTCCAACAGGGTTTCTTTGAGCATAAAAAGAAAATCTTAGAATGATTGTTTTTGTGTTTATAATTGTCATTATTTTTCTCACTGTAATTCCTAAGGAAAGTGGCTTGGGAATACATAGAGCTTCTGGGTCAGTGATCTTTTTTTTTTTTTTTTTAAGATGTTCCTTGATTATTATTATTATTTTTTAAAGATTTATTTATTTTTATACAAGAACCGGGGTACAGACCAGATGTGCGGGAGGGTGAGAGGATTCACCAGAGACAGAGCGGGGAACAGAACAGGCAGACTGACTAAATACACTGCTGAGGAGAGCAGCGCTAGACAGGAGAGGTCTGCCGCACCATGTGGGAATCTCCCTGGCCGGGAATCGAACCCACACCGCAGAGACTGGGGACAGCTTCACAGCACGGTGCTCAACCGCCTGCACCATCAGGGAGGCCCTCTGGGTCAGTGATCTTAATGCTATTTTTTTTAAAGATTTATTTATTTATGCATACAAGAGCTGGGGTACAGGCCAGAGATGTGGGGAGGGGGGGTGTGGTGGTGAGAGGATTCACCAGAGACAGAGTGGGGAACAGAACAGGCAGACTGGCTGAAATACACTGCTGAGGGGAGCAGCAGATGAGAGAGGAGAGGTCTGCTGCGCCATGTGGGTATCTCCCTGGCCGGCCAGGGATGGAATTCGTGCTGCAGAGGCTGCGGATAGCTTCACAATGATGTATTTTACCCCTTGTGCCACCAGGGAGGCCCTGATCTTAGTGCTATTTTATGATACAATGTATTTACAAATAAATATCAAAGTGAGCAATTAAACCAAGTGATTTGAAGACAGCTCAACGGAAGAGATCAAACTGAGGCCTGAGCACCTGAGGTAAGAGAAGAGGTGAATTCTCTCTATGAAAACAAATGAAATCTGAGACTAGGTAGTCCAATAGCTTCTCAGCCCTCAGAACTATGCAAGGATGAGCTCACCCGGAGTCTTCCCCTCAGGGGTATTTGAAAATGTCAGTAGGAAAGAAGACTTGTGTCTAGTGATTGGCATTATAATCCATGACAACAAATGGACTTTCAGCAAAATCAATAAAGCAGCTGATTGCCTTTTACTTAGCTGGGTGCTGCGTTCACCCTGCAGATTTGCTCCTCCATGGAACATAATAGGTGTTTTGGAAGCATCTCTGTCTCTCTCGGCCCTGAGCACACTCACACTTAAAGACACTGAGTCACACAGAAGAAATGAATGTGACCTTCAGGATCTCTCAGACTGAGGTTGAAACTTCCTGTGCTGAGTGGCCTTGGGCTTATATTATTAAGTACGCCACTTCCTCATTGTAAATGTGCTTAGTTTAATGCAGTGAATCCACTACAGAATTATTTGGAGAAAAGCATCCTGCCCCATGTCTGTACACTAGGGACACGTCATAAATGAGCATGTCCTTTCCTCATTTCCTGTAAACTCATCCAACCGGAGATCCTTGAGTTACTTGTGCATTTCCTGAGTAATCCTCTGCTCCCATACCTCCCTCCCACAGGGCCTGGAGTAGGGCACCGTGCGTGTTCAGGGGTCTCCCAAGCCACATATGCAGATGAGTCTAATGGCGATCCTTGATAGCAGGAAGAATTTGTTGTTTTAAAGCATTGACTGCTGGATTTGGAAAATGCATCTTTCTATAAATAATGAGATAATTAGAAGCATTCTATTTCTTAGGATTGTTGTGAAGATTAAATATAAATGTGATAACACCAGTCATTTATGCATACATGTACTTACCCTACATATTTAATGCTTTGACTTGTCTAGAATGTGGTTTGTAACTATTATGTGCTGTAATCAAATGATGGTAAGGATCGTGTTTCCCAAAGGAATCTGTTAGGATCTCACCACTGAATGCTTAGTTTTTCTGTTTGGGTGTCTGTCAAGCACCTAAAACTCCAGTTGTGAGCAGAACTCTTGATTTCCCTCCCTTTCTGTGCCTACAGTACCGCCCCTGGATTTCTGGAGTACTCTTAACTCTCCCCTGTTCATTCTCCACAGAGCTGCCAGAACGATCATTTAAAATGTCAATCTCAGGCCTCCTCTGGTGGCGCAGGCGGTTGAGCGCCGCGCTGTGAACCTGTCCACAGCTTCCGCAGCGCCGGTTCAATCCCGTCCAGCCGGCGTCCCACTTGGTGCGGCAGACCTCCCTTGTCGCGCCTGCTGCTCCCTTCAGCAGTGTATTTCGTCAGTCTGCCTGTTCCGTTCCCCGCTCAGTCTCTGGTGAATCCTCTCACCCTCCCGCACATCTGGCCTGTACCCTGGTTCTTGTATAAATAAATGAATCTTAAAAAAATAAATAAAATGTCAATCTCCTCGCTTCACCCTGCTGCTTAACACCCTCCAGGTCCCATTCGTGGTGCTTAGAATAAAAAGCAGGTCCCTTGTGAGCCTTTGGGACTTCGTGATATTGCCTTGCTGCCTCCTGACCTCATCTCCTACCACCCCAGAATATTTAATGTCATTCCTGCCTCCACTCCCACACTCAGCCCCCCTCACCTTCCTGCCTTGCCTGTCCAACTCCCTTACATCAATGTCAGTTTGAACATCCCTCTCACAAGTGTCTTCCAAGCCTCTGTAGCACAGCTCCCCACCCCATCACTTTCTTTTCCCATCTTCTGCTTAATTTGCTTTTGTTGCTTTGATCACAGTCTAAAGTTACGTTATTTATTGAATCTGCTTTCTTGTGTCATTGTGTACCCTAAGCCTGTGTATTCTACAAGGTGGGGACTCTGTTTACCACTGTCCCCCATTGTGCAACCAGTGCCCCACCCACGGCAGGGTGCCTGGAGGTCTGTACTCGGGGCCGTGTCCTCCAGTCTTGTCACTGTCCTTGTGTGTCATTCTTGCAGGGTGAAATCTGCCTCTGTACCAGCAGGATCTTTGTCCAGAAGAGTATCTATAGTGAATTTTTAAAGAGGTTTGTGGAAGCTACCAGAATGTGGAAAGTGGGCATTCCCTCCGATCCATCGGCCAGCATGGGAACTCTGATAAGTAAAGCTCATTTGCAGAAAGTAAGTAAATCTCTGTCATGTAAGTTACGAAAGGAATTCTTATCTGGAGAGAAGCTCAGTGCAAAGCATAGCACACATTCATGCTTTGATATCTTGCTAATTACTACCCTAGTTTTGAAAAATGATGACCTGTGGGAAATTGTCCCCAGTTGCGGAATCTGAAAATATTAAATATGAATGTACAATTGTAGCCCACCTTAGTGTAGCAGCTACCTGAAATGAGTGAACTTGAAAAGTTGGCATGGAGAGGCCACCAACTGCGTGAGGAACGCACATTTCATGACATTAGTCTGTGATCAAGCTAGATGGACTATGGGTGGCAGGAACCCCCACAGATATATGTTCCCTGTGGGGAAGGCTCTGCCTCTGGCTTGCGGCAGGCTGGCTTTTATAAGTGCCAGCACAAACAATCCGAGTGATGAATTGGGTGGGTGACCAGTGACAGCCTACCTGGGAGAAGCCTCTGGTGGTCTGTGATTTACAAAACTTCTGTCACTAGGGTCATTTTAATTTAATACCAGATATGACTTCCCAAATCAGTCATGTAATCTTTTTTTTTTTTAAGATTTATTTATTTATATCTACAAGCACTGGGTACAGTCAGAAGCGTGGGAGGGTGAGAGAATTCACCAGAGCCAGAGCAGGGAGCAGAACAGGCAGAAGGACCGAAGTACACTGCTGAGGGGAGCAGCGGGCGGCAGGAGAGGTCTGCGTGCCATGTGGGACCCTCGCTGGCGGCCGGGGATCGAACCGGCGCTGCAGAAGCTGCGGGCAGCTTTGCAGCCCAGTGCTTAACTGCTGCGCCACCGGGGAGGCCCAGTCATATAATCTTGGCTCTAGAGGGACTGGGTCCACCAAGGAGGATGTCCTGCCTTCACTTAGCCGAGGCAGGACAGAGCCCTTACGTGTTTGTGGGAGTAGGGTGCAGTGTGAAAGCAGGATGGGAGGGGATCAGGGGAGGAAGACAGGTTCAAAATAGTCTTGTAGGGGGTCAGCAGGGAGAATGGCCTCAGATATAACAGAAGGCTAGGCAGCTCCAAGGGCTCGCTTGAGACCTGAGGTCAATTATTTCCAGCGAGGACAGTCAACGCAGCCATGTTTTCCTCCAGTTGGAGGCGCCTATAAAGCTACAGGTGTGTGGGCAGCCTCCCCAGAGTGCCTTGGGGGAGCCAATGTGTGGATGTTGTCCCTGGTGGAGTGAGGAGTCACCAGGTGCAAGAGGCCCCATCCTTTCTCTCATCTGGATCTTCTGGGCATTAGGGCCCCTTGCCTGCCACCCACACGTGGCATAACTGGTGAGAAACAGCATCAGCAGTTTCCAGATGCCGACTCCCCAGCAGTACCTTCCAGCCTGTCAGGCAATAGTGCGTGAGGTCCTCTTTGCAATTCACCTCTCCCTGAGACTCAAAGGTCTCTATCAGCACAGCAGAGCAACTACTTTTCTTTTGTGGGTACTGCCGTAAATCTATTTAAGTTACCCAATGAGGTGGATGAAGCAAAAAATTTGATTAACAGCTTGTAGCCCCCCTTTGTGTGTGCACATGTGTGCACACACACACGTACAGCGCATTTTGTGTGCAGAAACCTTGATGCTGCACGTTGACTCATACTTGTAGCTATGGCTTTCCTCTGCCACACTCCACTCATCCCTTTTGCATAGCATGGTGAACTCAGACCATGCAGGCTCACTAGGATTCAACACATGGGCTGTAAGACTGTTTTTGATGTCCCGGCTTGCCCAAGGGGCCCCTCTCTTCAGCCTGCCCCTACACATGTCTGTCTTCTGAGAGCAACCACAGGCCCTCCTGAAGGCAGCTTTGCTATTCTCGAGCCATCTGAGCTGTCTGTACCCCATGGGCAGTGGGATCTCTCCACCAAACCCGATTTCCAATAAAGAGGAATCGAGACCAACACGGGGCCCTGTAGCATCCACTGTGTGCCCCAGAATGAGAAGCTGGGGCCGTAGTGTGATGACATCTGAAAGGAGGCAACTAATAACTTGTACTGAGCTCACTCACCGCCCTTCACAGAGGATCCTGAGTCCCTACTGGTATTTCCAACTTAGCTTGCTCCAGTGACCCCGTACATTCCCCCTGACTGTGACGTAGCAGGTCATGTGTGGCCTTACACCATCTTGTTCACAGTCAGGCCCAGTCTGTTGCCTCTGTCCCAGTTCCCCATCACTTTCCCTCACTCATTCTGCTCCTCTGTACCGTCTCCCTGTTCTTCCTCAGAAATATCAGGCACGCTCCTTCTTGTCCTTTGCTCTGGCTGCTGGAAGCTTGACTCATACTTGGAAGGCTCTTCCTTCAGATGTTTGCCTGGCTCTCCCCTGAGATCCTGTGTCACCTTCAGAGTGAGGGCGTTGCTTCTCCCCTCTGTAAATGCATCTCCCAGAACTTCTTCTACCTCCTTGATGCTTCATTTTTCTCCGTGACTCTTGATTCCATCTGCCATTTAATATATGTTGTTCATTTCTTCATAAACTCTCTTTCTTTGGCTAGAATATAAGCTCTGGGGTCTGTTTTCATCACTGCTATAACCAAGACTCTAGAAAAGAGTCAGAAACATGGTAGGTGCATAGTACTTGTTGGGTGAATGACCGAATTAACACTCCATCATGTTACTGTACACAGTGTCACTCCCCAAATTGGTGTCCATTTTCTTTTTGAACTCTTGAATACAAGAACCTAGTACCTCCCATCATTCACAATAACAGTAAAGGACTCTCCTACACCTTAAAACCAACGTTGAGGTTTTACTTACGATCCTCCTTAAACTCTTCCTCTTTTCATAGGTTATTTCAGCTTATGGCACCAGCACTTTAGTATTAAATTCTAGATTCTAAAAAGCCTTTGACCAAATATTGGTGTACTGGTTTTTTTTGTTTTATTTTTTTAAGATTTATTTATTTATTTATACGAGCACTGGGTACAATCAGAAGCACAGGAGGGTCAGAGAATTCACCAGAGCCAGAGCAGGGAGCAGAGCAGGCAGAAGGACCGAAGTACACTGCTGAGGGGAGCAGCGGGCGGCAGGAGAGGTCTGCGCGCCATGTGGGACCCTCCTCTGGTGGCCGGGGAGCAGCCGGGGATCGAACCGGCGCTGCAGAGGCTGCGGGCAGCTTCGCAACCCAGCGCTCAACTGCTGTGCCACCGGGGAGGCCCTGGTGTACTGTTTTTTTTTTTTTAAAATAATATACAAGTCCAATGTTTAAAGCACCAACAAGGTTTCAAAACATACAGCCAGAAAACTTCATTTGAGATTTTTATAGCATGACTACAAATATGTAACTGGAAAATGTTCTACAAATCCACATTTTCCAGAAGTTCTTGCTTTCTCAAGAACCAGCTTATAAAATGAGCAAGTCCTCCTCTGCATGCCGACATTAGGGAGAGACTGGCTTCCCCCATGTCCCCCAATCTTGGCCAGGCCCCCACTTTGCACACAGCAAACAGGACATGTGGTAGGCTCTGTACTTCACACCAACTCTCCCAGGGGAAAGATTCCTGAGTCAGAGGCCTTAACATTTTTTCAACTAATTTGCATCCCTTGTACTGCCTCATGGTATGAAAGTTGCCTCAACTTAGTACTGACATCACCCCACCTAAGAAACCATATTTTAAAAACTTCATCTTTTCTTAAAGGAGGGGGAAATGGTGGACTCTCCAATCTCCTATGTTTCCAGCATCATATACCTAGAAGCTATGGACAAAAGCCAAAATTCCTAATGGATCTAAACCACGGGTGATATCTGATTTTCTTAAGACTTAAAATATCGGCAACTTCTCAGATCAGAAATTCCATCTTCTACCAATCCAAATTATGCCTGAAAAACAAGCATTTATTTAACATGTTGGCTATATTGTCTTTCTTAATATCATTTCAATTTAGTGGGCTTAGGTACCAGGGATCACTCTGGAAATAATGAAACTTACAGTTAACAATTTTTTTTTAACCACATTCAATCAAACATAAAGCCATAAACACATTTTTATCTTTCAAACAAGGATTTTTTTTTTTAGATTTATTTATTCATGCATACAAGAACCGGGGTACAGGCCATATGCACGGGAGGGTGAGAAGATTCACCAGAGACAGAGTAGGGAACAGAACAGGCAGACCGATGGAAATACACTGCTGAGGGGAGCAGCAGGAGAGACAGGAGAGGTCTGCCGCACCATTCAGGTTTTTCCCCAGCCAGACGGGATTGAACCCTTGTCCTCTGCAGCCTCTGTCCACAGCCTCTGCAGCGTTGCGCTCAACCACCTCCACCACCAGAGAGGCCCTCGAACAAAAGTTTTTAAGGCTCCTACATATTTTCCCCTTTGTATTTTTCTATCTCTGTCAAATACAATGGAAAAAGATAAATTATTTTGGAATAACAGGATTTACAGAAACATTTCCCCTGTTGTTAATATCTTACATCTCTGTGGAGTATTTAGTTGTCCACACTAAGCAACCAAGGTTAGCACATTATTATTAACTAAACTTCAGATTTTTCAGTCCATTCCTTTTGATTTTCCACTTGACCTTTATAAAAAATGTTTTCAGCCACTTTCTTCATTATAATAAAATACAGTTTATTAGTTTGCAGTTAAATCAGACGTCTCCAACGTTCTGCCGCATCTAAGGGAAGGATATTGCACACACTGTTAAAAACAGATATTCACAGTAAAAACTTAAAACTAGGTTTTTATCATTGGCTACCATTTTTAAAATTTTGTTAGGGAAGAACAGCGAAAATGGTGTTTCCATTGTCTCACCACAAACTACTGGGATCTGTGGGGTTTCCCTCGTCTTCCTTTATGGTCAGTCCCTCCCACCTTCACAGAGCTCTGCTCTGCTCTGCTCTGCTCTGCTCTGCTTACTCTTCCTTCATCCTATAAAGTCTCAGAGCATCGGTGGAGGTGCTGAGGGTCCCTGGCCCCTCTGTCTTCACTGCCCCACTCAGAGGGTGTGTGCCCAGATTCAAAAGTCAAGGCCTCACTCTCTGAGTCTTCCCAGATGGACCCGGGCTGGGAGCTCTCAGCCTGTTACTGTGAGGAAGTGCTGGTGTCTGTGCTCATTGAGGGAGCTGATGGAAGCCTGGGGAGTGTAAGGATGGCCTCTGCAGGCTGTGACTCTCCAGTACAGTGTGCCAGACCATCTGGAACCAGGATGCGTGGGTGGTCATTTGCCCTCACCTTTCACTAGAAAGTTTGGTGGCTAAGTGCCAAGGAAGTCCTAAATGCCATCCATCTCTTGCTATGGCTTTGTCTTCGCCAAATCAATTTAGCCTTGAAGAACTTGGGGTCCTTGTTCTAGCCTACTTGCATGTGATTGTCACATAGATAACAAAGCAGTGACCTAGGGAACCCAATTAGAATATGAACAAGTACATTGTTATGACAAAGGACTGGAAGACTCAGAGAGTTACAGCTAGTTGCCAAGTGGCTGGGTGGCTTCCCAGGCTCCCAGTGACTACAGGGGATGCAGAGTAAATGGTAGGTGATCTGTCCTCAAGGAAGGAAGAGTTGCTTTTGCTTTTTGTTTTTCTTTTGATTGTTATGACTCTTCCCCACTTGACTATCTGGACAATCTGGGTGTATGTCAGCTTTCCAAGACTGCATGATCTAGTTGTAGAGGAACTCGAGTTCCTTGAGTTCTTCAGTGCTTACAATGAGGCCAGAAGAAGCATTGGGAAGGTCACAGGTTCATTCCTCAACAGGTCCAGGCTCAAGGCCTAACAAGATCTACTCTGCAGTTTCCTATTCTCTTTTGTTAGCTAAACTGACTTAGAGAGTGTCAGGTCATTTAATACCTCATCTTCATCGTCTTCATCACTGTTATCATCAGAGCCAACTGCAGCTGACATTCAAAGGACTCTGTGTCAGGCATTATGTCAAGTGTTTTCTATAAAAGTATACTATTTTATTTAATCCTTTCCAGAATCCTATGAATAGATGGCACTGTTAATCTTATTTTTCAGATGAGATAACTGAGGCAGGAAGCATTTAAAATCCTCTAGTGCTATGTGTAGAGATTGGGATTTAAACACAGTGTGCTCAGGCCTCCCTGGTGGCGCAAGGGGTTAAGATGCAATCTGTGAAGCTATCCACAGCCACTGTAGCACAAGTTCAATCCCTGGCCAGGGAGCTACTCATATGGCACAGCAGACCTCTCCTGACTCACCCGCGGCTCCTCTCAGCAGTGTATTTCAGTCAATCTGCCTGTTCTGTGCCCCATTTTGTCTCTGGTGAATCCTCTCACAACCCCCACCCACACACCTCAGGCCTGTACCCCAGTTCTTATATGCATAAATAAATAGCTCTTTAAAAAAATAAAAAATAAATAAATACAATGTGCTCTAAGCCACACTTCTCCAAACAATCTGAGCTGATTTTATGCCCAAAGCTATTATTACTATTCTTTACTTTCAAAATAAACATGATAGCAATTCATTACATTTTATGGCATTGTTAACAGTCATATTTGCTTTGTTTCTTTAGTTTTTACCAAAGATCTCAATTCCTTAGCTGCAAGGGCAGATATCATTCTATCATCCTGGATGCTTTCACTAGAAAATATATACAGCTGGGTGTGAATGTGAGACCCTTATACTTTAAATATTTTGATAAATTCATGGCTTGAAAGCTGACACTGCCCTTCAAATTTTATTACCCCAAGAAGATCTATGAGAGAATCATGTCACTGTGGGAAGAGCCAGGGCTCCCTGCACTCTTTGAATCCCTGACGGAAGTCGTGGTGCTTCATCCGGCTGCAGCCTCTGGAAACTTTTGCCTCAACTTTCCCCATTCACACAGGATGCTGCCTTGGCATCTTTTAATTAATGTGGGTGGGTTGTTTCAAAAGGAGCAAGCGAGTAGGGGAAAGAAAGTCCAGATCTAATTTAGTCTCTGCCCACAAAATAGACAAAGACTTTTCTGGGAAGGCTTTGAAGTCATTGTGCATGTTTAGGGAGGAAGACCATGAGGGTGGGGAACACAAATCTGTACCAAAAGTCCTATTTCTTAACAGTTTTTGATCTCACCACTTATTAAGTATTCTACACATTGAAACAAAACTAATAATAAAATAGCATTTTTTAAAAACATGGTGAATAAACATGTAGCCTAAAATGAATATAGTTCTACACTGGAGCACTAACTCCATTCTGGGGCAGGACACTCAGAGAAATTAGTGATATCCAAGACTCCAAAGCACCATTTCAAAAGTTCCTCAACCTTTGATTATCTACTTGATTTTTTTTTTATACTTTTAGCTTTTTGAGATTACTTTTCTATTACTCTGTGCTAATAATTTCCTCCAGGGATAAAGTAATATATCATTGTCACTTTATTAACAGTTTCAATATACAAATTATCACTATGATAATGAATCATTTCTATGACCATTATTAAACATTTTTCATTATCTCTGAGTCACTGACTTAGGTTATTACATAATTTATTTCCCATTACAGTTAGCTACACTGTATTACCTAGATGTTTTTTCAGAGTATGATCAGTCATGAGACTAGAAGTTAAAAATTATTTGTTCTGGAGGCTCACCTATTAAAGGGTATCCTAGCCTTTAATTAAATCTCATACATCATTTACTTTGCATTTTCTGCAATGATCATAACCTCCCTCCCCGAATGAAAAGATATTATTATGTGTGTTAAACTACTGAATATACCTGAATGTGAATTCTAGCCTTCCTATTTATTAGCTGTATACACTGTTACCCTTTGTGAGGCTCAATTATATCACCAGTAAATAAGGGATGATAATACATATTTAATCAAGTTTTAAGAGAATAAGGCAAGAATATATGAAAAGTATTTACTCAGAGTGCCAGGAACTTAGACTTCATGTTTAGCTACTTCTACCCCCAGGCTTAGCAACTTGCAATAAAATAATCAACCTTAGACTTCTGAGCTATGACCTTACATATCTTCCCTAGATGTATTGAAAATAATGAAATTTCTGTTGCTTTGCATCAAGTCAAATGGTCAGCTACTACTAATCATGGTTCTTCCCACCCAGGTCAGAAGTTACATCAAGAGAGCTCTAACCGAGGGGGCCCGTATTCTGTGTGGTGAGGGAGTGGACACATTGACTCTCCCTGCCAGGAACCAGGCAGGCTACTTTATGCTTCCCACGGTGATAACAGACATAAAGGATGAATCCTCCTGCATGAAGGAAGAGATATTTGGTCCAGTGACGTGTATCGTCCCCTTTGACAGTGAAGAGGAAGTGATTGAAAGGGCCAACAGTGTGAAATATGGGCTGGCAGCAACAGTGTGGTCCAGAGATGTGGGGCGTGTTCACCGAGTGGCTAAGAAGTTGCAGGCAGGTTTGATCTGGACCAACTGCTGGCTCATCAGAGAGCTGAACCTTCCTTTTGGAGGAATGAAGAGTTCTGGAGTGGGTAGAGAAGGAGCCAAGGACTCCTATGAATTTTTCACTGAAGTTAAGACCATTACTGTTAAGCATTGACCTTGGTCCGGTGAAACATTGTGATTGTCATTGCCTGGCTGTAGAGAATCAGTTGTCCAATGTGCTAAAGGGAAATGCTGGCATAAATTCTAATTTCATCTTGACTCAGCATAAGATTATCTCTAGTTGATCCTCAGTAGTTAGTATTTTTAGCCAGTGTTGAAGAGATGCTATTTTCAATGTGGAGTGAAAGAAGAGAAGTCTTCTGAATTGAAAAACACAAAATAGCAACCAAGTAATTGTCAGACTCTGTTTCCATGTTGCACCTTCAAAACATTTTTAAAATCATTTTGATTAAATTCTTGGAAAGCTACAGATAACCAATATGTGTAAAATAAATCTACAAAACCAAAGAAAAACAAATCATGATTTCTCACCTTTGGGGCAACTGTCAAGATGATTTCGACATCCATCAACCACTAGCCTGGTTAGTTGACAATTGAGTGAACCTCATTATGCAAAGAACATGGAAATTACCAAAAAAGACACATATGTATCTGTACACAGATAAAGAAAAATGAAATAAATACTACTTTTCAGAGAAAGCTCGGATTAAGGAAACAGTTTGATTCATTCCTACACAGAGTCTATCAGTTTCAGTTCTTAATGTGTATATCTCATGAGATTTATAATTTACTAATCCTAAAAGAATAAATAATTTTAGTAACCAGTATGACATAAACTCTTCTTAAAGTGGCCTTTATTCTTCCTTACTCCCACGCTCTAAGCAGTCTGGATATTATACAAGTAATAAAGGTATTTCTTGTGAGGTTTTTTTGTTTTAAGATTTATTTATTTATGCATACAAGAGCTGGGGTACAGGCTAGAGATGCAGGGGGTGAGAGGATTCACCAGAGACAGAATGGGGAACAGAACAAGCAGATATATAGCAGCAGGCAAGTCAGGAGAGGTCTACTGTGCCATGTGGGTTGCTCCCTGGCTGGCCGAGAATTGAACTCGTGCTGCAGAGGCTGTGGATTGCTTCATAATGCGCTGCTTAACCGCTTGCGCCACCAGGGAGGCCCCTCTTGTGTGTGTGTGTGTGTGTTTAAGATGGATTTATTTATGCATACTAGAACAAGAGCATAAGCCAGAGGTGTGGAGGGTGAGAGGATTCACCAGAGACAGAGTGGGGAGTAGAACAGGCAGATGTACTGAAATACACTGACTGCTGTGGGGAGCAAAAGGCGAGACAGGAGAGGTCTGCTGCACCATGTGGGTTATTTCCCTGGCCGGGGATCAAACTCATGTTGCAATGACTGGAGATAGCTTGATAGCGCTGTGTCTTTAACCCCTGTGCCACCAGGGAGGTCCCTCTTGTGTTTATTTACCCCTGTATTCCCCAGTGACTAGAGGAGAGAACTTAGGTTTACTGAGATTAAGTAGCTGAATGTTAAATAAATGGTGTGAGACAGAGGCAGGATTTGAAACGAGGGCTCTCAGACTCCCAAGCACATCATCTCTGACTGTTTCACTCTGACCTTGGATGGTGCTTGAGGAGCTGCCAAGTAGTTGTGATTCCCAAAGCACATCATTGTCCCCCCTACATATCTTCCTGCTTTCCCTCTCCTCTCCCCTTTCCTGCTTCACTCCATTCATCGACACAACTTGAGAACTTCTCCAGCACAACCCTTTCCATACTGTTCACAAGTCTGACCCTCTGGGATAGGAACTGCCCAAGGCAAAGGCCAGCGGTATTCCCTTCTGAAGTCTGAATTCAGAGCCCGGTGTCAGGCACACAGAAGGGGCTCAAAATGAGTTCCAGGAATGGCACCAGGTCTTCCTAGTGCATAGTGCTTGTTGCACGGAGTATGGGAATATTGGGTCAGAAGGATAATATAATCTACATGATTTCCAGATATGTTGACTTGTTCATGAATCCAAAAAAATACTGAGTTGTCAGAAAAGTCATGATGCAGTTTTGCATAGAAAACATAGAAAAGGGCCTCCCTGGTGGCACAAGGGTTAAGCACTGCGCTATGAAGCAATCCACAGCACAAGTTCAATCCCCAGCCATGCAGGGAACAACCCAAAAGGCAAAGCAGACCTCTCCTGACTCGCCCGCTGCTCCCCTCAGCAGTGTATTTCGTCAGTCTGCCTGTTCTGTTCCCCGCTCTGTCTCTGGTGAGTCCTCTCACCCCCCCCAGGTCTCTGACCTGTACCCCAGCTCTTGTATGCATAAATGAATTAATTTTTTTTTTTTTAAAAAAAAGAAAACAGAAAAAATATGTCATGGCTTTTCTGACAACACGACATAACCCTTTGGTCCATACGTGGTTCCTAGTTTCTACCTTTACTCTTGTCTTCTTTTCTCACTTCCACTGCCCTCTCCTTCCCTCACCTCCCCTTTTCCCCAGCTGAGGGCCCTTGTCATTGATCAGCGTAACCCAGGACCAATTCTGAGTGTCAGCCAGGAAAATTGCAGCAGTTCCAGTCTCTAAGAATGTGTATCAGTCTTGTAATTTGTCTGGTCCAAGCTCATCTTTATTTCTGAGATCTTAGCTTCATTTTGATTCTAAATACCTGTCTCCACAGTTTTCTGCCTAGAAGACTTTGTTCTCTCTAGGCCTTGGAACTAGCTCTGCCCCTGTGAGTACTTGTCCGGGCTCTGAATGCTGCCTTCTGAATGTGCCTGCTTCCTGCTGACATGCATCTTTGAGGCTATTTCCCTGGGTCTGTGTCTAGCTTTGCTAGAAGCTCATCCTCGGATCATAAGGCAGTCTCACTAAGCTCGCAAGGCATAGCCATAAGCTGTCCTACCCATCCCAACACTATCCCATCTCTCAATGGATCAATCCAGTGGCTACAATGTCTAACTACCCAAGTGAAATTTTCCGTGTTCTTTTCAGGCCATTTAAGTGAGAGAGCATAGTTCTAAGACTGTAACTTTCAGGCCATCCCAGACTGTCTCGGATCCCACATCAGCTAAGGGTGCTGTTTGGGGGTGTGCCCATACCTCCACACAGTCCCACCAGACCTGGTTCTCTGTGCCATGGGGCCTTCTGGGAGTGGTTGTCACACTATGATCAGGACTAATGTGGAGAAATTGGGACATGGACAAAGGATTTCAATTATACTTGTAAAGTTTCATTTGTAATCTGGATGATGTGCAGTTGGGTGTTTCCTATACTGCTTCACAAGTAGGAAATAGAGAATCATGTATCACTTAATGACAGGTCAACCACAGAAGTGACTTCAATAGGCTATACCTATCAAGACTAGGTGTGTAGTAGATTATTCAGCTAGGTTTGTATAATTACACTCTGTGGCAGTCGTATGAGAAAAATCACCTAACAACACTTTCCAGCTGTAACACCTTTAAAGGAGACGTGGCTGTGCACCAAAGTGCAGAAGTGGATTATAGTGAAGGATACTTTGGGGCACACATGGGTGATGGCTCCAGGAGTGCAGCCACCCTTCCTGGCAGAACTCAGAGGCTTTAGACTGGGAGTTGCAGGAATGGGGAGCAAGAGTTGAAGGGCTAGGAACTGGCAGTGGAGGAGTAGCATTTCTCAGACTTGCATGAGCTTCTGAAGCACCTTGAATGCTTGTTACAATGCAGATTTAGATTCAGTAGTTCTGGGGTAGGATCTGCTTGCAACTTGAGTGTTAAAGAATTTGAAGACACTTCATGAAACCTCAGCTCTGGTGACTCTCCCACTTCTCCAGTCTGGGGAGCAGCTGGCTGTAACATTTGCTCCTCCTAAAGACAAAGCAATTACTCAAACACCAGCCATTTTGTGCCAGCACAAAGTCCAAGGTTACTCAAAACCTTCACAAGCAAGTCAGAGGAGGCAGAAGAGGAAACAAGCTCCACCTGGGGGTGAAATTCACTGAAGAACTGCACCACCTGAGGTAAAGTCCTCCTTACTTGAGAGTTACAAGGGTACACACTGAACTCTCCACACATCCTGAAAAGAAGCCTCTCTCGGACCTCTTCGCACACAGAACCATAGTTCATCCCCTGCTCAGTGATGGGCTTTATGGGTAAACTCTTCTTTCAAATTGTAAAAATAACTTAGCTAAGTAATTGTACTAATCAACCAATGTGCCTTTTATTAAAAAAATAAAAAATTGAAGAATGGGGGCCTCCCTGGTGGCGCAAGGGGTTAAGAACCACACTATGAAGCTATCCACAGCCTCTGCAGCACGAGTTCAATCCCCAGCCAGCCAGTGAGCAACCCACATAGTGCAGCAGACCTCTCCTGACTCGCCAGCTGCTCCCCTCAGCAGCGTATTTCAGTCAGTCTGCCTGTTCTGTTCCCCACTCTGTCTCTGGTGAATCCTCTCACCCTCCACACCTCTGGCCTGTACCCCAGCTCTTGTGTGCATAAATAAATAATCTTTTAAAAAATAAAAAAAAAATTCAAGAATGACCAAATATTTGGCAAAATAGAAACACTAAGATGTGTGAATGAACAACTACGTATGGGAGAAAAAGATAAAAGAACAAAGACATTAAAAATAGAATTAATATCTTCAGAGCGCTTTGAAAGGACGGTGAGTTCATACATGAAAAAGGAGCAAGCAAGGAAGGTGAAAGAGGTCTTGAAAAACTAAACCTTAGTTCCCCAAATAATTTAGAATTGAATCATTGACTTGACTGAAAATTAAATTAGTAATCTGGAAGATAAAGTTGAGAAAATAGAATGTGAGAATGACAGGGAAAATACAAACAAGGAGTTGAGAAAAGGGATTGATCTAGAATGCTTTTACTATGTATGAAAAAACAAAAAAGAAAGATGAGAAAACAAAAAGAAATAATCAAATAAATAATAAAAGTTAATTTCCCTGAGCTAGAAGGATTTTCATATGGAAAATATTCATCGTGGGTCGTGAACTATTCAGCTGAAAATTTAAAATCCCAGTATAAGGCTTACAGAAAGAATTATAGGATAGCTACAAAAAAAAAAAAAAAAAGCATAAGATTTCCATCACACTTTTCATTAATAATATTGAAGCTAGAAGACAGTGGAGCCAGACTCAATATTGACCAGGAAAATCATTTTCAAGTTAAACTTTGTAGACAGGCAAACTGGTGCTCAAGAACTAAGGCAAAAAGAAGACACATAATGACTTAGATGTTTCTTTTATTTGCTCTTCCTGGGATGACTTGAGGATGTAGTATAGCAAAAGGGAAACTGACCCAACAGAGAGAACTGCCTGAGGAATGAAATGAAAAGAAATTTCAAGTTATCAGCCTGTAAACAGGCCTGGAAAGCTATTGGCCCAAATTAGAACAGGGAAAACAGAAGGGTGATTGAAGAGCATTAGTTAAAAAAAAAAAAAAAAAAAAAAAAGTTTGATAACCTAAAAGATTGTAGGTGTGTAAGAAAGCACATGTATGTCTCATTAGAATGAAGGAAAAAAAAACTCCTCAGAGGTCATGGTAAGATGAAGCAAACTGCAATGTGCTGTGACTTGGAAGCACAGAAGAGGTGTAAGTAAGGAAAGGAAACATTTTCTCATTAATTTTGCACGGATATTTTGACAATATAAAATCACATTTTTATCCTTATGCATCTTATGTACCACTTAAGTCTGTGATTAATATTTATAAAATTCTAATATTATGAGTATCTCTTATTAGCTCTCAATTTTTCAAGTCATACTATAGACACTTTACGAATCCAACTTAAAATTGCAGAACAGATTGTAAAGGTTACAACAAGACTGGGTAATGATATTAATCAGCTGACAAGTTGGGAGGAGGAAAGGGTGGGAG